CTGTTCTGTAGGACATGCCTTCCCCACCGTTCGATTATGCATGTTTCAGAACTCCAGAGCAGATTTAGAAATAGGTACCAAATAAACAGTATCCATTTGACCAACGTGGAATGCTATTGGTATAAATGTTTTGGTTCTTGAAATTCAATATTATAACCATGAAAATATATAAATAAAACATTTTCTGTAATAGAAAATATTCTAAATATCTATGCATCCTTAAAATGTATACTCAGGAAATAACCTTCTATATAATAGGTTAATAATCCCTAGTACTTAGGAGTACAGGCAATGCTCAGGTTATAACCATTCGTTCAGGGTTACAACTATTCATTCGTTCAGCAACCATTCAAAGTTAGGACAGCATTGAATGAATATTATTTATGATGGGTCCTTGTACTTCTGGCCATTGCAGCATCCCCTCAATTATGTGATTAGGATCAGGGTGCCTACTCAGGATTATAAATTGCAAGATGCCACAATTACATGATTGTGATTTCTAACATTCCCTGTTGGCTTCCTACAAGCAGGAAATGGGGCAACTGGCAATCATGTGACATACTTTATGACCATGTCACTTAGTGACAGCAGTCCTAGTTGAAATTGCCTTGGTAAGCCAAGGACTACTTGTACATCCTCAAAGTAGTATATATACAAGCTGAATTAGAGCTCCTCTCAAAGGGAGATAGGCGATTTAGAAATAGGAAGTATTAAATAAATAACAAAATCGCTACAACAAAAAGCAAAAACAACATAGCAAAAGCAGCATCTATTATCAATTTCCATTTGATAATGGAAAGTAGATGTCAACATAACTGCTGAAGGAAGACCCTGAAGTATGTTATGTGTTAGTAGCATCTTAGTGTCCATTCAGTTTTTATACCTTTCATATGATGCACACAGACACAATCTGCACTACAGCACTGCACATTTAGACACTATTTTCCTTCTACGCAGCCTCCCCAGTCTAAAACCAATTATCTTTATTTTTTACAAAAAAAAAAAAGTTCTACTCCCCCCCCCCCCGCCATTTTGCTAAATGCTAAAGCTCTAGTATGTGTGCCTTCTGGTACTTCTATATTGCATAGTTTAAGAGGGAACGCTGAATGTCCTTTATTGGAGGCTGAGAATGAAGATGTCTGCTGTTACTTGGCCTAGATAAATGATAAGAGAGGGGAAAATGCTATACCTTCTGCCTTGCTGGTTGTCTGCCCCATACCTGTGGAAAACATCTTTCTTGAATGTTCAGGCATTTGACTGTGTGGCTTGAAAGGTTATCTATCCAACTGTACACTAACTGCCTGAGCCCAGGACCATATAGAGAGGCTTTTTTAGCTAAGGAATGTGTGACTTTTATATTCTCTGTGTTTTTATGGATACCGAGAGGAAAGGATGAGGAAAAATATCTGGACTGCTTATTAATCATTTAAGAGATAGCAAGTGGGAAATGAAAAACAGTTGGAGAGTGACTACTGAACTAATAACCAGCAAGGAAGAGATGATGCTCAATTTGAACTCCTAAGCAGCAAAGAATGCGTCATCACCTTCAATGCATCCACAGAGCAGGATAGATTGCACTATTCTTTGTGGGCAGAGTTAATCAGCTTCATCCTCATTTTAACTCTGTTGTTAAGTCAGGTCATGGTTTTCTTGTCACTTTGGATTCTTTATGGCTTTCAGATCTTGAAGATATGGCTAGAGAATGGAAGGCTACTACTTAATTACTTAACCCTTGCTCTTCCTACCAAATTAAAACCTGAACTTAAGACAGAGAATGCATGCCTCTTTGCTGGATGAAAATATATTATTGGGACCACTAAGAGGACTTCTATTGAAGACCCAAAAAATCTCTACAATTTTTGGCCAGTCTCAATGCTAGCCTCCAAATACATCTAAATTATGCTGATTATCTAATGTATTTCAAATATGATTTTATCCAAGTTAATATTACTGAAACTGTGTTGGTTATCTTAATAGATTATCTCTATCTGGAGAACTAGAAAGGGTGGACTATGGCCATAATATTTTTCCTGAGCCTTTCAACAACTTTCTGTACCATCAGCCATGATAATGAGTACAATCATGAATGTGTGGCTGGCTGTAGAAATATTAAATAACCAATCTTTTGGATTTCCTTGTGGAATTTGACTTTGCCAGGTTTGTATTTTTTGTGATGTTTCACGGGATTTTATTATGCTTCTCAGGATCTACGTGAAACTGCTGGAATATTGGAGATTTTGAGTAGGATATAGTTTCTTAATCACAGAATATTGAGGAAGAGATTTCTGCTCTTGGACATTGACTAATTTCAATAATGAACTGGACATGATAGAACAAAAATATATAATTTTAAAATAAATCCTGGTAGTAATGTGATGCTGTTGTTAAATAAGGAAGTTAGAATCCAGAGGTGAAAGTTCATCCTCTTTTGAGTTGAGTTGTAGGCTCCCAAATCAGCTGGGACTGCTCTTTGATGCTTCGTTATGGAGGTTTTGTAGTAAGCTTGCTATAGCAAGAAGCATCTTCATTTAATTATGGCCACTTTATCAGCTACAACTCTTTATGAACTAGTCAGAATTCACTATATAGTTATCCATGTATTCATGCCACTATTGATTATTGGAACACCGTTTATGCTTGAAGACAATGTAAATATTACATGTATACTAAATGTGACATCTAGGCCAGGGCTTTTTAACCGTTTCACAGATTGTACCACTTTTAGGACATGATAATATTCGAGTACCACCATTGCTTAGCAAGGTGTCAAAAACTTGATGACCAAAAAAATGGGGTGGGGGATTTGGGGTTTTACTGATTGGATTGATTTGTTGTTATAGAAATGGCTAGTTTATACTATTATGAAAAAGTAAAAAGTTGAGGTTCGATATTAATGCTTCATTCTACCGCAACAGAGGAAGTCGTAAGTCAATGCCATTTCTTTTCTTTTTCCCTTCTCCCCCTCACTTTTCTTTCCCTTTTTCCTCCCCACTGTGTTCTAATATTTGCTTTTGTATTTTTGTATTTTATTCTATAATCTAATAAAATGTTACAAACCGTAAAAAAAGGAAAAAAATGTACTGGTTTTACTCCTCCTTTTACATCCTCTCCTCTCTCCCCCCCCTACTCCTTTAACAGGTGCGCTGGAAGCACCGATCAGCTGGAACTGCGTGTGCTGATCCTGGGGTCTCAGAGCCCTGGCAGCACTGCAGCTCCATCTGAATCTCTCCCAGACCTCTCTGGTGCTGCTGCTGCTTCAGCTCATGCACTTTTACACTTTTTTTTTACAGTGCTTTTCAACCCATGGTACACGTGCCACCTGCCGGGTGCCAAAGTACCACCAGTGGTACGCGTACCACGGGTTGAAAAGCCCTGATCTAGGCAACTAACTGATGTAAGACATGGGCATCTTATTTACAAAACAAAAAGGTCCTAAACAGTTTAAACTCTGAGATCTCCCATCCCATTGCCATCCTGATAGGCCATTAAAACCTTCAGGAGGTCCTTTTAAGGCTTCTCTTGTTCCTGTCTGCCTGGCACACCGGAGAAGACTATCTGTATTTTCTCATGTGTATGGAATACACTCCTAGTTGCCTCATGAAAAAGCATCTTTGGGATCCTTCATTAATGGTATTTGGAGTCTTATTTCCTCAACTTTCTGCAAACTCTTAGAAAATACACATCTCTTTTGTTAGGCCCTTAACTGTTAATTTAATATCACTTTCAGTATCCGTTTAATTTGTTTGTTACTCTGCCTTAAATAATTACTGAGTGAGAAAGTGGGGCATAAATAGTCAAATAAATATGTTGCACTGCATGCAATATCAATATCTTGACCAAAATATGCCTGCTTGAGCACTGATAGGGGCCATTTCGATTAGAGGTGGTTCTCGATTTAAAACCATTTGTTTAGTGATTGTTCAAAGTTACAGTGGCACTGGAAAAAGTATTTTATGACTGGTTTTTCACGCTTAATGATCATACTTAATGACCATTGTGGCATCCCCGTGGTTATGTGATTAAAATTCAGGTGCTTAGCAACTGGCATGTGTTTATGACAATTGCGCTGTCCTGGGGTCATCTGATCACCACTTGTACTCTTTCCAGCCGGCTTTCTACAAGAACAGTCTATGCGGGAAGCCAGCATTGCTTAACTGCACAGTTCATTTAATAACTGTAATGATTCAATTTAACAAATGTGGCAAAAAAAGGTCTTAAATGGGGCAAACCTCATTTAACAACTGCCTTGCTTAACAACGGAAATTTTGTGCTGAATTGCAGTCTTAAGTTGAGGGCTACCTGATGTACTATGTACTGTTGTATTGTGTTTTCAAACTCTTAAGCAATTGGAATGTTTCGCAAAACATCCCATAAAATTTAAGAAACTGAAGTAATGGCTAAAGACTCCTTATTTCATTGAAATTAAAACTAGCTGTACACAAGTTTCCAATACATTTCATCTTTGAATTCAGATCCTTTTTCTGCAGTTTGAAGGAACATTTTATTTTTGCACCCAATCACATTTTATGTATTTAGTTCAATTTATACAGCAGCCCATTTCACATGCATGTCTGTGGGTGACTCACAAAAATGATAAAAAAACAAGTTAAAACAAATTAACCAAAAACATTAAACTTTAAAATTTTGTGGTATGATGCCATCTTTTGTTTTTGTAAAAACATTCATATAAACACTTCAATTATTCAGAGTGGTTTTAAAATACGTACAATAGATTTTTTTTCTTCAAAAAATGATATCAATGCATAAAACGTATAGTGAATGTCCATAAAAAGTTTCTTAGTATTATGATACTGTTGATACATTGGCTCATGAATGGTAAATACCTTGAACTTAATGGCTATCCTCATTTTTTATTACTACTTTCTTGAAGGCCCTGAGGGTGGGGTTCTGTAGCAGAGGTTGAGTACTCTACATTCAGTTTTTGAAGGCTCGACATTTTTTATTTTTTTTTTTTGCTGATTGGGAATTTGTAGGAAATTGCACTACCAATATTCTGTTATTTTGTCCTGGATTTCAGAGACAGGTGTTGGAGGGATCTAGAGGCCAGAAAATGATAAATTGAAAATCACAACGCTTTGTCTATGCCAAACTTGTTCAATATAGTTCCTTTTGATTGGCAGCTTTTCTTTATTATCCCTGTCACTACAACCAGAGTTTCTATAATTTAGGGATGTCTAGAGTTAAAGTTCAACTTTTCATAAAATACATAGTCTGTCAGTGAGCATAGTGATGGCTTAAAGAAAAAATGCCACTTTTCCTGAATATAGGGGTAGTGAATATAGTTTTGTTTTAATAAATCAAAACTGTTTTCTTAATCATGTTACTGGAGCTCATTTTTCTATGTGCTGCAGAGAGCTGTGAAGCAGAGTTTTGAGAAAAAATATTTGTTGGCTTATATATTTTTGGATTTAGGAAACTTTATAGTTAGCTTGTCTTGATGTAACATTTTGCTGCCTCAGAATAATACTTCAACTTCATATTCTTATTTTCTATGATCTTTCTATAAGCGGCAGCTAAATATGAGCCAGTTATATACTACATTGTGCTACAGAGCATACATAAAGAAGTGACACAAATGTACAAAATAAATATGCTCTTGGATCTTGTATCTACCTAGTCACTTGTGCTGACATTCACACACTATAGCTTTTGCAAAATTTATTACTTCCACCTGCAAAATACAGCTCATCCCTATTCTTCATCTGTTTGTTTTTTCTTTCCACCCTTTCTTATCTGTTCTCCTAGCCCAATTATTTTATGTATGTTTCTATGTCTTTTGTCTTTGTTGATAATCTACCATAAAATTGTTTACTTTAGCTGCTGCCAACATGCTGTTGATAAGGATATTCCAAATTAAATGACCAACGTTTTAAGCGAAAATTTTAAAATTTTATTTTCATAATTAATATCCATTCAGCATGAGTTAACAATAAAATGAAATACAATCATAATATAATGTTACCAATTATTTTTCAAGTAAGCAATGGCACTGATTTTTCCCTTTCATATTAGCTGTTGTTTAAGCTTTCTTTATCTCTAGTGAGAAAATTTGTTTCAAAATATGTCTGATGAGTTTTTCGTTTGGTAAAACCTTGTTTCTAGTGTTTCCACGTTCTGTTGAATCATCCTCTTTGCTGAATGCTAACTCACATTATTATGCACAGACCTTTTGATGGCAGACCAATGTTTCATTCTGATTCATTACTGCAGGCATTAATGCTACTTCCTACCAGAAGTCATAAGATTAAGAAACTACAGAAGAAGTTGCATGAATAGAAAGGCTCCAGGAATTCATTGCCTTCAACAGCTACAAAGGGGTAGGTATCTGGTTCTTTATACATCTGGGTCCGAATATAGGTTCTTATTGATATAGATAATTGATAAGGTAGAGATCAGTGATCCAGGATGATAATTTCCTGAAAAAATGTGAGTATTGTTGAGTCTGTGATCCATGAACTGAAACCTGGTACATTTTGCACCTTATCAAATGAACATCTTTGTAGTATAATTACATATTGATTCTACTCATAGTATCACTCATTGCTCTGTCTCCACTGCCAGCATTAATTGATCACTGAGCCGTTAAAAATATTTCTTACAGAAATGTGAAAAACAAAATCCCCTTTGCTGTCCCTTTTAAGGGGAAAAAGTGGTCTACATTGCAAAGGTAAATGGTGATACCTTCCTTGCCCCATTTTCTCATCTTTAATTTTTTTTTTGCCATAATCATTTGAGGCTTTGTAGTTTTGACTATTTTTGTTGGGGATACAGTGTATGAGATTTAACTAAACCTTCCTTTGCCTGATCTTTCCACCCACTTTGCAGAGCAGAGAAATTGGAGTTCAAGAGAGTAAGCTTTTTGCTATTCTGCACATTGAGAGCAATATAGTCTGCCAGCAATAGGAAAGAGTCAAGTAAAGGAAAGATTGCCTACAGAAATTGCTTGCAATCTCTCCAGTTCTGGGGGATAGGACACATACTGACTGTAATGACAATCACATGACTGAGAGATGTTGCAAGGCTCATAAATGGGCCATAAGGTTATTTTTTCAGTATCATAACTTTAAACAGTTGAAATGAATGTTTGGTAAATGAAGACTATCTGTATTTGGACAAGTATTCAAAATATTTATAGGTATTTGAATATTTGGAGCAGTGTTCAAATATTTATGTGCTATGGTTTCGGAGAAGCCAATTCACTCTTGTCAAAAGATGTGGAGAAGGATTCTAAAAGGATATGAAAGGGATGAGATCAATCAAAAGGACGGTCCTTCTCATTCCATTTAACAGAATAATAGTGCATGCAGCAATAGAGCCCTAGCTATACCATTAAAGAATGATAGAAACATACAGCTGTAAAAAGATTTCAGAAAAATTAAAAGTCTGTAATGAAAAAAAAACACCTAGAAAATAGTTAAGAATCTGGCTCATGAAAAAGAAAAAGTCAATAAACTTGGGAAGAAATCTACAATTTAGCCTTCTGAAATATATACTAAGGGATTCACTGTCATTGTAAATCAGTGATTTATGCCACTGAAATATTTTCAAAGTGATCTATTTGAGTGGGTTATTTCTGAAGCTTTGAACTAGGTCTCCTAATCATATTGGTTAACCTCTGGATACCTTTAACTTCACATGTATAGAGAGATAAAGATAGAGGTAGAGATAAACACACACACATCTGCATACAGGCATAAAAATGAACACTGTGAAACAATTTAATCATTTTTTAAAAAAATACATAATTTCTGTTTTTTATTACATAATTTCTTACAGTTTATATTTTACTACCAAATATTTATAGTAAATGTCAATGAAAAGAAGTGAATTAAAATCTTCTGGCTTTTCATAATATATGTAACTAATTCATTTGTGATTTTTGCATCATTTTGGATGAACCTCATTGTTATTGAGTCAATATTTAAATGCTTAATTTATTTGTGCTGAGTATAATTACAGGTCTAATAACCAGATGAATGTTGATGGTTTATACTGGATAATGTTTAACTATAAAGTATATTAAGATGGATTACTTAAAATATTAGGGGGGGTTATAAGTGTAATATTAGTGTAATTGCTTCAACTTTTCAAGGTATACATTAAGTTGTCTAGGATTTTAAGCATAAAAACACTATACTTTAAACAAGAATGATTTATTTACAATTATTTGTTTGTAGACATTTAAATAAAAGGTGTCATTTATATAATAGTATTTTACTTTACATTAGACAGTAGTTTTCATTTCAACAACAAAAGAAAAATATCAAGTTGTAGATGGGACTAGTAAGAGAATTGGTGAGGGGATAGACATTTTAATGCTTCTGAGACTTTCCATAATTGCACTTCAGATATATTTTTATGTTATATTTGATTATTTTAATTTGTGAAAGCTGGCATGTTTCTCATAGATAAACTATTTAATTGTTAAGCATAGTGACTGCTATATTTCTAATATAAGCATCACTAATCACACAGGTCTTAATTTCAGCTTTCTGTTGGTGCCACGGACATTTATGCATTATATATATCTGCTCCTACCTTGTGATGGTCATAAAGCTAATGGTTAATACTGAAATTCTGTATTATTACCCGTGTGATCAACCCAATTTTACAACCATTTTATGGTAAATTACCATAATTTTAAGTGAGCCAATAGTTCACTATTGACCAATTTTCTGAAAACCAAAAGTAAATGCTGGTTTGTGACCAAAAACTGGCATAAATTGCAGTCATGTGACCACAGGATGCGGCAAACAGTCATAACTGTGGGTCAATTGACAACCACCCAAGATGCAGTCACATGATCATGGGGGAGTGGCCATTAGAACTTTGGAACTGAGTCCATAATTACTTTTGGGGGAGGTCCATCATAACTTAGGTCACTAAGCGAACGAGTTGTAAGTCGAGGACTACCTATATTTAAATCAGTTTCAATTTTGTCAGAATATTGTTTAAAGGTTAGTGATTACAGTATTCAAGATAGGGAAATCATTTCCTGTGATTGATAAACGATACTTCTCTTGATGCAACCTAAAATTACATTTGTCATTTTTTCAAACACAGTACAACTCACTTTGACAGAGATTAGGCATTAATAAAGATAATACTGCTTATACATGAGTTGCTCTGCATTTACTTATTTATTTGTTTATTAGATTTATAGATAACCCCAATGTGTTGGCCATACATACTTTGAAAAATCTATCCTTAGAATAGAATAGAGCTGGAAGGGACCTTGGAGGTCTTCTAGTCCAGCCCCCTGCTCAAGCAGGAGAACCTATACCATCTCAGACAAGTAAGTCTCTTAGACCAGATCAAAGTAGCATTCTGCTTTTGCAGGAGAGATAGAAACCTATTGGGAGAAAGATTGGTAAACGATACGGTTTTTTAATTTAACTTAGCATTTAATGATCACTGATATTCATTGCAAATACTTTTTAATTAGATTTGTAAAATTCCACTTTC